GTTGCTTTGATGCTGAGGAGGCTACAGCAGAGCTTTCAGACTAACATGGACTAGGAAGAAAAGCCTGCCAACCTACTTCTGAAAATAAGGCAGTGAAAACCCTGTGGCTCACATGGCGTTATGTAGGGGGCTACCACGAGGTGGGGGGCAACCCTCAGCAGCTAAGAACAACAAAACTCTTCTAAGGTTTCCCTTCGTCATCAGGATAATGACCAAACTCTTTCCTGTGGCATAGAAAGCCACCTGGTATCTGGGCCCCACCTAATCTTTTCAGCCATTTCTCTCATCTCTTCTCTTCCTAGGCTGTCATTCAGCCTTGAGGAACTGACAGTTTCCCAAACATGCCAGGCTGTTTGGACTCCCTCCTGCCTTCCCTTACTACTCACCTGAAGAAAACCCATTTTCATTCCAAAGTCATTTTAGGGTCACTTCCTCACTGAAGACTCTTTTAACAGCCGTCTCCAAGTATCCTCTCCTCCTCCTCCTCTACTCCACCATTGCTCATTCTGGCATCTTTTCGGTTACTTCCCACCACCCAGGTAATATATTTTGCATATTTCTTTCTCCAAACAAAGACCATCTGCATTACAACCCTGTTTGTTTGTTTTTGTTTTTGATTTTTTTTTTTTTTAATTGTGATTTGGGTGAAATTTTACAGAGCAAATACACTTTGCATACAGCGGTTCACATACACTTTGTCTCATGACACTGACCACAATTTACCACAAGGCAACAGCTCCCCTCCTTCTTCCTCCCAATAGTTACCTCTCCCCTGTGTCCATCCCTCCATGCACTCCTGCCCCAAGCTGTCTCCCTGTGCATCAGCAGCCCTTGTTTTTAGTTTATATTGTTTTGTTTTAAAATATATTTATATACTTATTATCACTATGTAGATTCCTATGCTCCAACCTGACTATCATTCTCTGGACCTAGACCCATAATCTGTGTTTTAAAATTTTCCTAGGTTATTGATAATGTTCTGTTTCTTAATCAGGAGCTGGTTCTGAAAATAAGGCATTGAAAACCCTGTGGAAAATTGACTGCAATGTGTTCTTTGGATATGTACTTTTCTGTGAGTGTATTATTTTTCAATATTCAGTTAAAAAAAGGAGAGACTCCCAAAGTTATTCTTAAGGTGAGAATGGTACCTGTGAACCATTGACTTACCTGTCTACTGGATTATGAATCCCTTGAAAGCAGTGAAGCCATCTATTTTGTCTTTGTATTCCAAGCATCTATTTTAGTACTTACAAAATGTTGTTGTTTTTAGGTGCTCTCCAGTCAGTTCCAACTCATCATGACCCTATGTGTAACAGATTGAAACACTGCCAAGTCCTGCGCCATCCTCACAATCATTGTTGTATTAGAGCTCATTGTCATGGCCATTATGCCAGTTCATCTCATTGAAGTTCTTTTTGGCTATCCCTCTACTTTACTAAGCATGATGTCCTTCTTCAGGGACTGGTCCCTCCTAATAACATGTCCAGAGTATATGAGACAGATTTTTACCATCCTTGCTTCTAAGGATCATTCTGGCTGTACTTCTTCCAGGACAGCTTTGTTCATTCTGCATTACAATATAGTCCCCACTTAATAAGTAATTGCTAAATAAGTGAAGGAATGAACAGAGGGAGAAGTGGCTTGTGGATTCCTTTCTCCCTTACTCTCTTCCAGACATTTGTTCCACATTCCTGCTGAAGCACATGATATCTCATGCTTCTGTTACACCTCCAACACACTCCCAAGTAAACCTGTGAGATGGTATCTGGCTTCCTCCCCACCGTGCACATAACTGTGTGCCAGCCCGACAAGGGCGAAGCAAGCAAGCAGGTGGAGGACATTTTGTCTCCAGGAGCAGCTACTTCTGCCCTGCCTGGGTCTGAGCCACCTGGCTTGGGGCTTCTCTCTATGCGTGGGAATCAAGCTAGAGAGAATATGTCCCTAGAGATACTGTGATGCCAAGCTTCTATTTGCATCTCTGATTTTTAGCGAATTTAGTGAGTGGGATCCTGGTGAAATATCACCTAAGTTGTTCGTTCAGTTATAAATAATTACCAAGTGCTTCCTAGGGCCACAATGATGAATCAAGTAGACTCATACCGAGCCTTAATGGAGCTTACAAGTCTAGTGGGGGACACAGTCAATCCAATAATACCTAACTTTTTATTAAATAGTACCCAGTAAATCCTGGGCACTGATTTTTACATAAATTCATGTCTTTATGTATGTTAACTCACTACATCATTGTAACAACTCAGTGATGTCCTCTTATTATTACTCGTTATATAAATGAGAAGACAGATGTATTGCACAATTAAAGACATCATGATTAGAGTCATTAAGGTAAAAGGATAGAGAGTTGGAAGAGGGCTTAGCAAGAAGACCTAAACTAGCCCTAAGAGTCAGGAAAGGTGTTTAGATAGGTAGGTGAGGTGGAAGGGGAGACCTGAAGTGTAGACATAGAGTTCTGGGTGAAGAGAACGTCAGGCAACAGAAACAGCTGATACAAAAGGATGATCATTTGTTTGAGGGACTGAAAGGTAGTGGCAGCACAGGGAGCCTGAGATGATGCAGAAGAGGTGGGCATGGTCCAGATCACTCAGAATGTTTTCCTGTTTCCAAACAGCATGCTAAGTTAAAAGAAGCAGAAAGAGAGTTAGCAGATTTAGGGTTTAGTTCTGGCTTTGCTCCACATAATCTCAACCACTTCTCCATGTCTGTTTCCTCATCTGAAAAATGAGTGGATGGACCACAACATTCAGACGGCTCCCTCGTCCTGACGTTCTGATTCTAGGTAAGGCTCTGTTGTAAGGAATTATCAAGCAGTCAGATCCTAGACAATGCTGAATGCTTCCAGGCCTAGCTCCTCTGAAGATGCAGTAAAGATATATGCAGAACAATAAATTCGGCTCTGAGCATGGTTTATTCCCCTTTCTTGAAATGAAGTTTAAACTGTTAATAATAATAGCATAATAAGAATAGCGATGTCTTTTGAGCACTTACTGTGTGCCAGTTTTGTGCTGGGTCCTTTTTGATAAATTTCCTCACAGCATGCCCCTGTTACAGATTAGAAAGTTGAGGCCTCAAGGATTACACAATTTTGGGAAGGTCCTCACCACCCATCTTTACCCTGTGGACTGAGCATGCCCAGCCCTGTTTCATATCTCCAGGTGTGTTAACTTGAGCAATGACATTCTCTGGTTTTGTTCACTGGCTGAGCTGTGCTTTTAACCCAGTTCTGACTCCAGAACTCGTCTTACCACCAGGCCATGCTGTCTTCCCTTTTTAAAAACATAGGCAACTCTTTATAAATAACATAACATTGTCTCTTGAAGTCCTTTCTGGGTGAGGAAAGTGCTTTTTATAGCTAGGGCTTGCTTCTGTTTACTTGGTCTCTTCCAACATTGGTTAAGCCTGCTTACAGCTGTGTCCTTCACTGTCCTTACACTGTACTCCTAGGTCTCCTCCCTCAGAAGACAACTCCCTGAGACCACATAGTATGTAGGTGCCAGCAAATAAATTTCATTTCTATTCCTCTCCAAGGCTGCTTACTTTTCTATAAATAATCCTCCTTCCTTTTCTCAGGCCCCTGAGGGTTTGGTCACTTAACGAAAACACACACACACACACACACACACGAGTTGGGGGATGGGGGTGGGAAAAGGAAGGAGTGGAGGCAAAGTGAGTGACCTTGCAAAGGTATCTAGCCCACAGAGGACAGGAGTAGCAAACCTGCACGTCTGTAAATATTTATTAGGTTTTCCTTCTTCGTTCCTCCTGAAGCTGCAAGCTCCTGGCGCCTGCCTTGCCCTGTCCCCTCTCTGCTTTGTCTACCACACAAAGCCCAACCCGTCCATCTCCTCTTTGCAGACCTAGAGAACTTCAGTCCCCATGTTGAAACTCATCGGTGGCGGTGGCGGGCAGGACTGGGCATGCTCAGTAGCAGGGACAGGTCTGGAAGGCAAGGAAGCCGCGTTTGAAGTCGCGCGGCTGAGGGATTTGGGGGAGACAGGCGGCTGGGGCCCCGGCTGGAGGTGCGCGGGGATCCCGGGTTCCGCGCCTGGGGTAGGCACGCCGGAGGCGGGTGCCGCGAGGCCGGCGGGTGGGGGGCAGGGCGTGGAGGAGGAGGGGGAGCCGGTGGGAGAAGGGGAGGAGCGCCCGGCTCGCCATCCCCCGGCGCTGGCTCTGCGGCTGCTGAATCGGAAGCTGAAGGGAGGATCCGGGGAAATAAGGACGCCCGAGAATGACCTCCAGCGAGGCCGCCTGAGCCGGAGCCCGCGCGCTGCCCCTCCAGCCCCCAGCATGGACGTCGGCGGCGGGCAGCCAGAGCGCTCAGCCCCTCATGCTCTCAGCACCCCCACCGGCGCTGCCGCCGTGAACGGGCTGCTGCACAACGGCTTCCACCCGCCACCCATCCAGGCGCCGCGCCTCTGCAGCCGGGGCCCCGCAGCCGGCGGCGACGCGGCGTCCCCGCGCCTCCCGCTCCTGCCCGAGCTCCAGCCGCAGCCGCCGCCCCCTCAGCACGACTCCCCTGCCAAGAAATGCCGGCTGCGGAGGAGGATGGACTCGGGGAGGAAGAACAGGCCGCGTAAGTCCGGCTGCGAGGGGAGCGCGGGCGAGAGGCTGACACCGCGCGCGGGGCCAGGGGACTATGGGGGAGGGCTCCGCAGCGCGCTCGGTGCGCCCTAGCGCCCGCCGTCGAGGTCTGCTTGGAGGGGGCGCCAAACCCTAAAGATAGTTGCCTGAGCCTGCCCTTGCTTTCTCCCATTCGTAGAATGGGCTAATTGGAGATGGAGCCTGAGCTGCTCCTAGGTCAAGGTGTTGTAAAAGACGAACGCACTGCCAGCCCTTATTTGTAGCTGGGAAAATAAATACAAGTGTATGAACTTATGTTGGGGCCTGGGAGTGGGCGTAGAGCGTGCATGCACAGCCAGAGCTGCCTCTGCCTCCTCGTCCCCTCTCCCTTCTCTGAGCTCGTCTTTCTGGGGCTGGCTCTCAGGCGACGAGCTTGCCCTTTGAATTGCAGAGTAGCCGCCAGCACCTCGGGTCTATTGGCGAGCGCAAAGTCCGGAGGCGTGGAGTTTGACAACCCCCCAAATCACAGCCTATTAAACGCTGTTTCTTACCAGCCAATGAGAGGGCTTGTTGAGAGGGTCACACCCACTGATACCATGTGGGCCGGAACTATATGGACCAATGAGGATTGGAGGTGTATCTTTTGGAGGAGGGGGATGTAAAGTTGAAGGTTTGTAATGGTAATGTTCAGTGCGGAAAACTGAAATGAGTATTTTAACATTCTAAGGCGTGTATATTTAATGTTAGTTTCTAAAAAGTACCTCCTCCGCATAATGTCTGGAATGTAAATTTGTAGCTCGAGTTTCAAACTTTTTTTGAAAAAAATCTGAGCCGAACCTCATTCAACTGGTTACTTCTTTCTGGGTCTCTTTAATGAAGCTTATAAATGGAAAAAGACAAAGTAAGTAGAATGCACGTTATAACTGATTGCACTCAAACATGCATCTTCTGTATATAGATTATTCTGTTTGATAGGAAAGTTGCTAGGTAGAGTTTTGATTTGTCTGTAAAAGCTTCACCTTGTTTCTCTGTTTATGTATTTTGACTCAGCTTTTCTGCATGGAATTAAACGTTTAAAAAAAAACTTTGGAAAGCACTTTTCCATGACTGTGGGATCACGGTGGCTCTGCTATTTGGTTTTGTGGGTCTAAAATGTGACGTTTGAAATGTAAAGTTTTGTGTGGAACTTTGAGGCCACACAAGAGATTTGACTATGACATCTAGCGTCTCAATTTTTATTTTAGTTTTAACTTGACACTTATCAGAAAATTACTTTCTTTATGAACTCAGCGTTAATTACTTACAATTTATTTTGTTTCTTTTGCAACCACATTTTAAGTACTTCTCTGATCTGCATTAACAGATAGCAATAGAGTTTGCAATTTAAATAGCCAGTGGTACAATATAATTAAAGAGAACCGTATTGAATTTTTGTTTAGAATTGCCACCTTGAACGGTCTATGCTCAATTCAGGATATAACACCCCTCGTAATAATTTTTAAGATGTTGAAAATACACTAACTGTATCTGAAAGGCAGAGAAAAACTAACCCAGAGCTTTAACTTGTGCTTGCAGATCCATAGGAGTTAATTGTTTTAAAATACAAGAAAATGTAACTTCCTGTCTGCACTCACTGGCGTCAAGTCAATTCGGACTCATAGTGACCCCTCCTTGGGTTTCCGAGGCGGTATCTACGGAAGTAGATTGCCCAGTCTTCCGAGGAGTGGCTGGTGGGTTTTGAACTTCCAGCCTTCTGGTTAGCAGTCAAATGCCTTAGACGCTACACCAC